TGTGTGTGTGTGTGTGTGTGTGTGTGTGTGTGTGTGTGTGTGTGTGTATGTGTGTGTGTGTGTGTGTGTGTCTGTGTGTGTGTGTGGGCTTGTGCTAGGCACACACACACTCAGGGATCTCTGAGACCCTAGGGATCCCTTCCATGGAGAAAGGCAAGCTAGACAGTATCTTCTATTCATTTACTTTTTTTGAAATAGGGTCTCACTTTGTAGCCCAGGCTGGCTTGCAACTCACTTTGTAGCCCAGGCTTGCCTTGAATTCTCAGCACCCTTCCCACCTTACCCTCTCTGGTGCTGGGATTACATGTGTGAGCCATCATGTCTGCTAGATTTTGTCTTAATCCTGCCAAGGGTCATGTCTTGAGCACCACTGTTGCCGTGCCTTCCTGCTCTTGCTTTCTCAGGAGCATGTGTCTGAAGACGCTGAGATCCAGTCAGGCATAGTCTTGGTGAAGACCAAGTCAGCAAAGCTGAACTGGTCCAGGGATCTTGTACTTTTTCCAGGGCCTCAGATACTAGCAGCTTCAGCTTTTCCCACCCCTGCCTTGTGTGGACACACCTCAGCCCAGATCCCAGTCCATTGGCCAAGGACACCTGGGTTTCTGGGGTCTTCTGGGAAGGTCCTTGGAAGGAAGGCCTAGATATCTGCCCTCTTAGCTGTCCCTTCCTTCCCCACACTGCCCCTCTCCAGGCCTGCAGCAGGAGGTAGACCAGCTGAATGCTGAGATCCAGAAGGCCCAAGGGGAACTGTCCTACTTGAACACCTACATGGATCATGAGTATTCCATCAAGTCGGTTGAGATCACCAACCACATGCGCCAGGTGCAGCAGGCAAAGGACAGCCAACAGGTAAAGGAGCCCCCAGCCCTGATCCCTGGACCGCACAGAAGGTGTGAGCGGTGTCTAAGCCCTTTCTGCTGCTCCTCAGACTGAGCTGGACCACCTTCGGGAGATGCGTCGAGTGGTCCTGTCCAAGTTTTCCGACATGATTAAGGAGAAGAAGAAGAAAATCCTGAGGTCTCTGGTGGCGGTGAGTAGCCAGGTGCTGGCCCGGCCCTCCTAGCTTCCCTGTCAGTCTCCAGTGCCCAGGAACACAATCCTCTCTCTCCCACAGGAGACCCAGAAACCCCACGAGGAAACGCTTGTACTGAAGAACTGGAGCATCCAGCGCCTGAAGATGTCCGTGGTCTTGTTCAGAGAGGTGAGGGCACTGGGAAGGCCATGGCCTCTGTGAGGGAGCTGCGGGTGAGCCTCGGCTTACACTGACCTGGTCCTCAGGAGGGGCCCCGCTCTGGTGTTGGCCTTCTTCCTCGACTGCGCCATCGTTGCCACTCATCAGTCATCTCAAAGGGGATTCATGCTGGACCTTGCCTCACTGGCCGCCTTCACAGGCCAAGACCCATTAGCACCAGCGCATGCCACCTACGCTAGCCCCTGCCTTCCACCCTTGGCCCACAGTCGGAGTTAGAGAATGAGGCCCGGCCTTCTCTGGAGTGAGTGTTCGCAGTCTTGGCACCATCAGTTTTCAACTCAGGGTTCCCACCTCCACTAGTCCCTGTTTTCTCACATCATGGGTCCTACTCCTTTTTCACCGGCCTCCATTTTTCACTGTCCCTCCACCTCACTTGAAAGGCCCATTTTTGTTTTTATGTAGGGCGGTTGCCTCTCCTGAGTCCAGCATATATATTTTTTAAAGATTTATTTCTTTTTATTTTATGAGCACTGGTGTTTTTGCCTGCGTGTATGTCTGTGTGAGGGTGTCCGATCATGGAGTGCCATGGAGTTGCTGGGATTTGAACTCAGGTCCTCTGGAAGAGCACTTAGTGCTCTCAACTGCGGAGCCATCTCTCCAGCCCTGAATCTAGTGCATCTTAGTGACAAGGCTCATACAATCTCCTTAGACACCATCCCTTCTTCCCAAGGCGTGGATTTTACACACTTCCTTTCTGTGTCTCTCCTCTCAGCTTATTGAACAGTTGAAGAAAGACATACCGGCATTAATAGCGGAGGTGGAGCAAATGTACGCAAAACTCTGGAACCCTCGAGAGGTCATTTTTCAGGATGTTCTGCTTCAGAGACCCAAGTATGTAGTCGGGGCTACCATGCGAGGCTAAGCAGGCCCGTTCCCAGGGAAGGCAAGAGCCTAGGCATGGAGGGAGGAGCCCTGGGTGTTTCTCTACTCTGCCACTATCCTAGACATAGCTTTTTCTACCCATCTCTGGTGTAGCTGAACCAGGTGGTTGGTTCCAGGGAAGACACAGGGTCAAGGGTAGAAGGGCATCTTTTCTGCTTGGCAGGTTTCTGTGCTCCAAGAGGGGAATGTCTTTCCTTCCAAAATTAACCCTTGGCCTGCTTTCCCCAGGATTAGGCTGTATGTAGGGCCAGGTGGTAGGGCAGGAATGGGCCAGACCTCTTGATGATGTCACTCCAGGGCCTCGTGTGGTGGCAGAGCCCAGCATTTGCAAATTATAGAGTGTTTCCTGTTTGTCTCTGTGTCTCCTCTTAGGCCTTTCCTTCTCTTGGGTCCTACCCTCGCTTTGTATTTTGAAACTGAGTCTCTCTTTGTAGCTTAGGTTGGCTTCAATTATCGATTCTCCTGCTTAGGCCTCCTGAATGATAAGATTATCATGTGTTTAGAGAGTTTCCTTCTGGGAGGGGATGTTAAGCAACACCTACCCCTAAGGTTCTAACAACAAACCAACATTTGATTCCACCAGAGTTCCTCCTGGGGAACCAATGAGTACACGGGGCCTACTTTACAGGGCCCTGGGGGAGGGGTCACTGATAGGTGTCTGTGTGAATCCAAATCAGCCACACAGTACAGCCTGCATCCAGAATGGGTGATCACTCCCTCTTACTCTATTCTTCCTCAGTCTATAAATTCTAGCCTCTCCATGAGCCCCTGGGGCCACAGGTATGGTTGGGAGGAGAGGTTAGATGCTCAGCTGAGGGCCCCATGACACTCTCTCCCCTCCCCCCTGCTCCCTCCATTTGTAAGGGGATACCACCAGGCAACAGACTGAGCCGTGATGGTGTTTTCAGCAGGCATAGCTGGCCCTGTGAAGCTGGTGGCTCAGAGGGTAGCCCTGTACAACACCGTGCCTTGTTGTTCTTGCTGGTTCTTTTCCTTTCCCCCCACGTTCCATCTCCCTTCTTCCTTCCTCTCTCTCTCTCTCTCCCTCTCTCTCTCTCTTTCCTTTTGAGTAATGCTGTTGCGTTTACAAAATACCAGGGAGCCTGCAAATGAGTGTAACCTTGGCTCTGCCCTTGGAGCCGAGAGGAGGAGGACAAGACATTAGGAAATACTGAGAGGCCCGTGAGCCTGGAAGGGCTTGTCCCAGGGCAGTGAGTCTGAGGCAGACAAGGAAGGACTCCCTGAGGATGTGATGTTGACATGAGTCCCTGCTCCCTTCTGATCTTGATCCTCTGTAGGGGAACATCAGTTCTGTCAAAATAATTTCCTTCCCACTTTTGGCGTGTGTGTGTGTGTGTGTGTGTGTGTGTGTGTGTGTGTGTGCGCGCGCACACACACACACAGGTGGTTAGAGGTTGTGTTTTGGGATAATGCCTCCCCAGCAAACACCAGTGTTGTAATGAAGCTGAAGGTGTGTTCCCTCTGCCCCAGTCCTGCTGTCCCAGCTGACCCCTCACCGTCCTCTCTTCTACTTCCTGCCAGGTGCACTCCAGACATGGCAGTTGAGATCAACATTCCAGCTGAAGAGCTATTCCTTTTCTAGACGGCAGCCTGACCACCCCTCTCCCCAGCTCTATTCCCAGCCCCAGGAGTTCAGCTGGTGACTTACAAGATGGTGTCTCCATCATGAATCTGGCCCACGGTCCCTCCTCTACCCCTCTCCCTTGCTGCTTGGACCAGGCAGGAATTCCCAGTCCAGCCTGTTTGTCTCTTGGTATCAATAAATCTGGATTTGTAGTTTGCTTGGCACTGGTGTATGGGGCCCCACGCAGGCTTTGCCGGACATGTCATCGCAATGGCCTTAGGCTCAGGGCTAGGCTGTCATGCCGATGGCATCTGGGAGTAGTGCTGGAGTGATGCCTCCCCGCTTCTCCCTCCTGGTCCAGTGGGAGCTCAGCTTCCCTCACAGTTGAGGACAGAGCCAAGGTAGAAGAGAGACCCCTTGAAACTCATTCGCCTGGGAGCTTTCTGGGTCCCCCGTGTCGGTGGCCATCTCTCTTCTGTTTATTGACAGCAGTGCACTGCTGCCCTCAGGTGATGAGAGCCGAGCTCCCAAAGTAAGCCTCCTCTGGCTCCAAGTGAGCACACCTGTGCCAGAGCGCCAGACTTCTTGGTTCAACTTGGAACCACTCTACAGGGCTGTTTTCTCTGGAGGGCCAGGTGGCTGCAGCTGGACCCTGCCCTTCTGCAGCCCTCCTCAGCCCCTTCCTCAGTCATTGATGTGGAAGGTACTTGATAATCAATGCTGACACCCTATGCTTCACCCAGAGTTGACTTCCCTGGGGCACAGACTGCTTCTGGCCACTCCCAGATCCTGTCGTGTGTGTGTGTGTGTGTGTGTGTGTGTGTGTGTGTGTGTGTGTGTG